AACATGGCACCCTCAATTGTGGATAATACCTGCATGTATGTTTCTGTTTGTTCCTCTTTGGCCACCAACCGTAGAAATGTGCCTGCTGTCCAAGAACATCCATGACTACTACTTTGTGTCGCAAGGCAAGACGACTATCCCCGACCTTGACGATGGCGAGGAACTTTTAATCACCGATGTAAGTGCTTCCCTTTGACCGGTCAAGCACTCTTCTCGGCAGTATTCGAGATCGAATAATAGATCCTTACGTCTTTTGATTTTTCGCAAATTTTTATGCACTTCGTAATTGGTATACTAATACAATTCCGTCTCGAAAATTGCTTACAGATTTTCACTTCGATTACCTAACGAGCTATCTTCTTTCTCTCTCTCTCTCTCTCTCTACAGAAGCGAAACAACTCTTCAAGCTTCGTTTTTATTGTCTTTGTTTTTACTGTCTTTGGTTTTAGTAATACTTTAGTGATACTTGTACCTGTGCTGAGATTTCACCATCGTTTGCTCTATACTCTTTCTCTATCTCTATCTCTATTTCTGTCACTTTCTCTTTCTCTGTCCATGTATCTATTTCAGCTCGTCGATGCATCATAAAAATGTAACCAATTCCTATTATTTTTTAACAGCAAAATACAATAATGTTAGCAGCAAGAACAGCCGCAACAGACGACCTATCGTTTTTTGCTTCTAATTCTCTATACTCTACTCTGTACTCTATTTTCTCTTTCTATCGTTCTTCTTATGTACATCTATCTCTTTCTCTTTCTTTCTTTCTTTTCTCTATCTGCTCTTCTTCTTTCAGCCTGTCGCAAATCATTTGGCACATGTCCATTCTCTCGTATTTTTTTTTTTTCTCTTCACACGCATCTTGCAATTGCTCCGTCAGTTACAAATATCGAAATATTCCAAATATTAAATAGTACTCTGTTAGTTAAAAGAGTTGAACTTTGTTCAGAAAAACGATTAAACCTTTGACTAAATTCGGGAGCGATTGCAAGTAGTAGTGGTCGACGATACAGCGCACGTTGAGCAGGCAGGCAGAGCTTGAAAACTGTATAAAAATAATGCAGAATTATGCATGCTGAGCAACCGGATCGGGGACTATTGGTACATTAGCCAGGGTAAGACCAGAATACCGGGAGTCAACGACTACGCTGAAATGGATCAAACGGACGTAAGTCCAACCCCAGGGTGTATTGGAAACCTCGACGAGCTTTCTATCATCTTGTCAAATTTTATGAACCTATGGGCTAATTTCAGTATTTTATTTGTTTTATAGAAATTGTTTTCTTGACATCTTTTCTGGGAGTATAATTTTCCGTGAAAATATCAAACATTATAAGACACATATATTTATTAGAAAATTGTTTCTTCTTGTTATCAACTGTTTTAATTTTGCAAGGTGATAGAAAAGTCGGGCCGGGGTTTTTTTTATCGCCCCCCTCGCGCCTCGCCTGCGAACGCTTCCTGCCGCCGCAATCGGGGCGCGGGGAGATTGGGGGTGGCAAGGAATGTTTTTAATTGAAAAAGGCTTTTCATTCGAGATAGAGAAAGATTGAACCCCCAGAGTACCCGCTCCCCGATCAGCTCCTACTTACTTTTCTCTAGTAACGCGCCAGCGCTTTGTCGATCATGTGCAACGAAAACAGAATCAGGAATAATACTTAGCAGGTCTTCATCGATGAGGGATTTGAATCCTCAATGTTTGAGATTTAATTAGGTGAAAATGGGATAAAAGATTCGGAATGATTAGATCACTGAAAGTTTTGTTTTTAAGGAAAGATATAAATCATCCAGTGGACAAGTTGATGTTCAATTTCAAATCCCGGAAACTGACTAAGCTATAATTTGTTCTCTTCATAATCCTTCGCAGAAAAGTGTTTATTGTCCAACAACATATACGACTATTACAACGTGTCTCAAGGAAAAATCACGATCCCCAACGTCGACGACAGTGAAGAAATGAGACTCACGGACGTAAGTCCTCGATAAATAAATTCGTGAACTATCCCCCATTTTCTAGATATCTGTGTACAATCCTCCATTTGTATATATACTGTTTCTGATGAACATAGAGGTCCCCCTTTTTTGAAAATCCTAAAACGAATGACTTAATCGTTGAATTTCTCTAGAGTTCCCCTCTTCTGCTGTACAAGATTGGTAAATAGTAACGAGTTTTAATTGCTCAATGTACGTGGATACATTTTCTCACTTTCTCCAATTCATTATTTTAAACTTCGTTACTATTTTCTATTGGGACTCCATGTATATAAAACTTATTCCTTGATTACCCTTTACTTATATACTTTCTATAGTTTTTTATGCAAGAAACCACTTATTCCATGTACTTCAAGAAAAAGTCACTTCTGTTTTGAAAATGACATTTTAATTCGATCATAATCAAAAAGATATATATCATATTTCCAATGATTTAATCCTGTATAGTGTGATCACGTCACAGTAAATAGGATTAAAATATTGCAAGTGTAATTTAAAGTTAAATATTCTTTCTCTTTGATCAACATTGAATATTATTTATGTTCAATGGTTTTTAAATATTCTCATATTACCTTCACAATGTTGAAAATTGTTTGATATCCTGGTAGATATAATAAATGCAACTTGCCCCACTGTTAAATATTCCTAAAAAAAAAAGACGGCCTCGAGGTGGAAAATCTCGACGAACGTCAGTGACGGACCTGAGATTTCTGGTTTCGTTTCCGGGATCAGCCTCCAAGCGATTGATACCGATGAAAACTCAACCGAATCGAGTCTCTTCAGGTGCCTTCTTCGAAAGGACGTGTAAACCCGTTTTTGTTTTCTCAACGAAGGAGGCAACTCGCCAGAACCAGGCGATTGAAAACGAAAGAAACATCGATCCTCCTTCGTTCATCTTCTTCAAATTTTCTCTCTTCTTAGTATTTTTACATCAAGTTTGCAGAGTGTCTTTTTATATTTTTTATTCGACACAAAAGTACGAACTTAGGTAAAAAAGAAAAAAGTTGCTACATACGTAACTCCGCTTCTGCTTTTTAATTTTTGCTGCATATATTTAAGCTTAGCTTTTCTCAAATTTTCATCGGCTTCGCGTAAAAACGTCGCTTATAGCATGATCAAGAGAGTCTGTCGACGAATTCACCTGTAAAATGGTGGCATTCTCTGTCGACAGTCTCTTTAATATCACATCAAAGGAAATCGCGTCCACCTTCAGGCTTCGTGTCTGCCACTGTATTCTTTTTGCAAAATCCTTGTGCAATCCCACTAATGATAATCCAACAAGTTTCCTAACGAAAATGCTGTTATTGTCGTATCAGAAGTAGTGTCAGAAATTTCTTGTTCGTAAGAAGCTTTTGTCAGTTTCGTAAATATGCCTAAATAGAAATGAATTTTATTTCCTGTTCAACTTCTGATACGAAATCATCGACAGTCATTTTCATTTGCGATTCTTTTTGACTATAGCAAGCCTTCGATGTGCTGGGCTTCACGCAAGAAGAGAAGAACGACATTTACAAGATCACCGCCTCTGTAATGCACATGGGTGGCATGAAATTCAAGCAAAGGGGTCGTGAAGAACAGGCTGAAGCCGACGGCACTGAGGTAATCATCTCGTTTCGATCTCACACAATTATTCCATACATATTTTTACTATATATTTATATTTAATTAAATATATATATTTTTTTCTAATTGTAAAATTCAAGTTTAATTAAAAAATGCAATACTTTCGTTACTACTTTGAGATTAATTTCAGACTATTTTGTCTCACAGGAAGGTGAACGTGTCGCTAAGCTGTTGGGCTGCGACTGTGCCGATCTTTACAAGAACTTGTTGAAGCCGAGGATCAAGGTCGGTAACGAGTTCGTGACACAAGGTCGTAACAAGGATCAGGTACTGTACTCCGTGGGTGCCATGTCGAAGGCCATGTTCGACAGGCTGTTCAAGTGGCTGGTCAAAAAATGTAACGAGACGCTGGACACCAAACAAAAGAGGCAGCACTTCATCGGTGTACTGGATATTGCCGGTTTTGAGATCTTCGACGTAAGTTTCTTTTAAATACCTCATTACACATCCACTACACGTATTCAAGTAAAACCATTACTATGGGCGATTTTATAATTAAAAAGTTACATATACACATTCCTTAGAGCGAAACTTATATCGAATTTAATTTTTAAACATCGCCAATCTTCTTTTCAAATATTATTAGTATATAAGTATTTTCAGGAATACACTGCAGGGTATTCGCGATAATTCTGGACATTCTTTATTTCCTAATTTATGGGGAAGAGATAAAAGTTCTTATACAGAACCTGTATGGTTCAAAGGGACACATCTTCTGATAGAAACGAATTTATTTTATGTTAGTATTTAATGAGATACGTTTTTATTAAATGGAAGCTTTTTAAAATGTCTGAAGTCCAATTTTAATTAGATTTTGAGATTTTATACTAATTTTTACGGAGTGGGGATAAGAAATACAATAGAGAGTCCTGTTGTGGCTAGACCACTCGAAATTGATATGTATAATACTGCGTTAAGAATGGCGAGCCCAAAGGATAATACTTTCCCGCATCCTTCATTGTCGAAGGATTACAGGAACTATTTATTGCCGAGTCCTTTATACCTGCCGTTTCTAACACAGGTCATTCATTTTAAGTCGTTTACAAGCCACGACAATACACCCTGTTAGGCTTCCCACCTCCATAAAGACTAGTCAATTTTGGAGTCCAGACTTATCGCAACAAATGATTAATTATTAAAAACTAGACAATTCGCTATCATAATTTATTATGGCAAACACGATTAATAGTCATCCGTTATACAATTTACAAGAAACAACAAAGACAACTACCCCACAAAGCACACCAACCAAATCAAATACAAATATTCAATGCGCGATAGTATTAATTCGTATTTCGACACTTAACAAACATAAACTATTATTTTATTCCACGAAGGAGCTGTATCAAAGTTTCTTTGTTTTCTATGCATTGTTGAAAAATCTATTCGTTCTTCTTAGTACAACGGTTTCGAGCAACTGTGTATCAACTTCACAAATGAGAAACTGCAACAATTCTTCAACCATCACATGTTCGTGCTCGAACAAGAGGAGTATAAGAAAGAGGGTATCGTCTGGCAGTTCATTGACTTCGGAATGGACTTGGCCGCTTGTATTGAGCTGCTCGAGAAGGTAGCCCTCAAGCATAGAAGCCTTGCGAGTCAGCGTGGTTTTTCAATGTCTATAGATCCCCTCTTGTTATGTTGTTTCACTTTGTTTTCAGAACGTGAAACATTTTCCAATGATCTCGCTCATTGTTTCTGACATCAACCTGGTGTCATCCCGTTTGAAAATGTTTGTTCTTGAACGTTCCGTCCGTTAAATATTGTGTCCTAATTGAAGTTATTCATTAGGTTTTAAATGGTTTCAAACTTCGTCTGTGATCGTTCTTTAATAATTACTCAAATTTTTTTCATATCTATTAAAATGAGAATTGGAATGAAACTTAGGATGATTTCCTTGAACTGTGACATTGTGTCTAATCATTTCTCTACTCCATAAGTGAACGTTCACCTTATTCTTCTACATTTATCCTTCGAGTGGATTTAGTTGGAATTTCTTCGTTTGTATAATCTAAATCTGTTCATATTCCACTTGTGATCAAAAATTGCATGTCAGAGTCAAGTTCCCCTTGGATTATTTATGGCATGATTGTCCCTTCAGTCTGTTTACAACACACTAAATTATATTTGATGACGGAAAGACTTTGATACACATAAATGTCTCATACAATAATTAATTGTGCGAAATATACAGAAGTCGATAGGAAATTATCTATGAAGAGGATTCATCTCGTCGTCGTCATTTCTCAGCATCGTCTCCGAATTTTCATGGGCAACAGTAAAAACAGTGGACTTCACGCTGAGTAGAATGCAATGATAGTTAATTAACACTTTTTGAAAGTACGATTGTATTATCTCCAACTGTCCATCGAGGAACAGGACGGTGCCATCATACAGAATCCCCGTCTGGTATACATATAATTGTAGTCTGTTGCCAGTAATTGATGGAAGTAGACTAATACGTTGAAGCATTAGTTTCCTGGAAGTGTTAGGAAAGCGTATGATACATATTATGCTTTTCTCTGACACAGGTAGTGAAAGTTGTCCCTTGTAGTTCGTTTCAAATATTTGCGATAACAATCAGAATTATAAGAGAAAAGTTTAAATTGAATTTTGAAATTGTTCTGTTTTGAAATCCACCAGATTTTACTTTATTTCTGAATGCAAATATTTGAATTTATTACCCAAACTTTTCCTATGAATAACAACATTATACAATTTGTAAATTGTAGTACAAATACTCAGGAAGCTGTTCTTGAGATGAATCCTGATAAAACCCATCGATACCGAGCAGGTCAATTGACAATTGAAATTTTTATGTTGCCTAAGAAGCTTAAGTTTCTTATGACTAACTATTTCAAGTAAGTCGCAATCTGAATTGTTGAACTACCTGTTACTTGACCTGTCGAGGTATCGGACCCTACCCACCTTTAGCTGGTGTTGTAGACAAGATGTTACCGGAAACGATGGTAATAATCTTATTGTTAACGGTAGCGTAACGGTGTAACCACAGAGACTCAGTGAAAGAAACGACTCAGTCACGTATTGTATGTACCGTACACACTGACGAAAACAAGCATGCGTTGATTGTTGCTCGAACAGTTCAACAGCTTCGAGCAGCTCTGCATCAACTTCACCAATGAGAAACTTCAACAGTTCTTCAATCACCACATGTTCGTCCTCGAACAAGAAGAATATACGAAGGAGGGCATTGAGTGGGCGTTCATTGACTTCGGCATGGACTTGGCCGCTTGTATCGAACTGATCGAGAAGGTACAATGAGACGATCGAAACCGATCCGACGTGGCAACGGGCCAAACGACGGTTCCAGCCATTAAAAAGCAAACAGAACAACAAATAATAATAATAATAATAATAATAATAATAATAATAATAATAAACGAGTACGCAGCGTTAAGGATCCACGAAAAAGGACGAGACGGATCCTTAACAAAACTTTATTAACCGCTTTACAACGGCAAACTTGCAATAGTGATCGTCCACTGTTTTAATTGAGCTGGTTCTTGATCACTTTTTTTTTTTTTTACATCTTGTATTTTGTCCTTTGTCCGATCAGTGTGGTTTCCGCGTTTCAGCAAGAGGCAAGCAAAGCAATCTTCCGGCTCGCTTTGGTCACACCATACTCTCGTTCTGCCTAAGTCCTGTAACATTATCAATCGTTCTCCTTCTTCTATCTCTTTATTAGGATTGGAGACAGCATTTAGGAGAAATTATTTCCACTAAATCTCTGTCCTTGGAAAATATCGATGATCAATGCCTTACGTATTCCATTTGACAATTACTCTTTCCATTATGTTATTTTTTAACATCCATATTATTTAATTCTTTCCAATTCAGCACACATTCCTTCGATACATTTTTCATTACAAATTTTACCGAAAGATTGTATTTTTTAACTATTTATAATTAGTCAACTTATTTTTTGTTTGACTATTCTAGTCTCTCTTTTTGCATTTTGATATATTTATATTTCTACACAATCGTTTAATCGCACATTGTTCACGCACAGGAATATTTCACTTACATGACACAACGATTATTGGGTACGAAAAACATTTTATACTAAATTTTCGCCCAGACACACGTCACCAATCACTGAAACTCTAATCGCAGAAATCGTTGTTTACTGATGACTTTTATCATCTATTTTCTGTTCTCTTTTCTGTCATCCTTCCCTCATTTCCTACCTCCCTCTGGTCCTGTTCTTATTCACCACGCTGCGTACGCGCGCTACCTCTCATTGCGTTCTGCCGTGACGGAACACGACAGTACAACGGCTTTGAGCAACTCTGCATCAACTTCACCAACGAGAAACTGCAACAATTCTTCAATCACCACATGTTCGTACTTGAACAAGAGGAGTACAAGAAAGAAGGCATCGATTGGGAGTTTATTGACTTCGGCATGGACTTGGCCGCTTGTATCGAACTGATCGAGAAGGTATTCCCACAGAGTTTTACTCGCCGAGACAGAACATAGATACAGAGAAAACACGAAACACCAGAGACAATGATCAGAAGAAGCGACCGAACACGCTGATCGATGGATACATTCGTTTGTCGAGCTTTTCGACCGAAAAAAGGAATTAGAACCTCTTCGGCTGGTCGTCAGTGTTATTTTTGGTGGAATTTGGTAGAATTTGGAACCCCGTTTTGTTCACTGCTTATTACACATGCCATTAGTCGCTTTACTTTCTTCTTCATTTTCGTTCCGGTTATTATTTTTTTATCGTCGCTGTCACTGCGTTCAAGACAAAGGTACTCCGCTCGCCCTGTTTCTTCTTCGTTTCTCTTCACCTTGCTTTCACCCTTTTTCTCTATAATTTCACCCCCACAACGGCACTGACATCGTGCCTGTTATCAACTATTTCCCTCAACGTTCATTAAAACCTGTTCTTAAGTATGATATACTGAGCACGGTTCATAATTAGTTTATTAAGATAACGCATTGAATAGGGACATATATTATTATTATATTTATTTTTATTTATAATATTGTTTATTAAAAAATTGGGACGAAATGTTTGACAGAGTCCTAAATTTGTTATTTACATTTTCAATATTTATTTGATAAACTATTAATAATATTGAAAGAGAGAGTTCCGAATAAGAGTCACTGTACTTGTTATTTGGAATTCGAACCGAGCTCAAACTATAATGACTGAAGAAAACCCGTACCCTTACATAATTATCAGTCAGCACTGTCTCCATTTATTATATAGCCTTTAACGTTTCACAAAGTTCACTGACTCATAATCAGTGAACTATCTAATGATTAATCATGTTTGCAAACGTTACCTTCCTGTCATCTTTCGTAAGTCCACCTCAAATCCAAACTTCAGAAAACATGAACGATGTAATAATTGGAATATAAAAATATAAGAATTATAGAAGATAATCGTTTAATTTTGAGGTGGAAACGAAAGGTCCCTGAAAAGAAACATAACGTATGACTTATGTTGAAAATCGTTGACAGACATCACCCCCTTACGTGTCCCGCCCCCATGAGGAATAAACATATGCCTACTTCCAAAGGTGTTCGTTGTTTAAGCAGCATTAATGACAGCTGTCTTTTTGCCTCTGTTTTCTGTTCCGTTGCTTTCCCCTTCCTTGGTCTCGAGCAGTTCAACAGCTTCGAGCAACTCTGCATCAACTTCACCAACGAAAAGCTTCAACAGTTCTTCAACCATCATATGTTCATTCTCGAACAAGAAGAGTATACGAGGGAGGGCATTCAATGGACGTTCATTGACTTCGGCATGGATCTCCAACAAACGATTGATCTGATCGAGAAGGTATTGTCACGCAGCCGCATGAAAGCAGCAGGAACGAAAAACGAATGAAAGATGGTCAACAGCTTCAAAGATACGATAGAAAAAGAGAAGCATAGCCCGGGGCTCGTAGCCGAACGAGAATGCCGTCATCAGCATGCGGGAAACGCGATCATATTGCTTTCATCATCCACTAACACTTCTCGCAAAGTTCATCCGTTTTGCGTACGCTTCTTATGTATCTCGCATTTCATTCTACATAGAAATTTTAAAGACATCTGTCCAGCAATTTGACAAAGAAATTGGATACCACTTGCATGTTTCTCGTCAAAAAAAAGCTCTATTCCAATTTCTCACAACAAGCTTAAAAATTATTTATTTTATTAATTATGTTGTTCAGTTACAAAAAAATCAATTGTATATCAAGGAAAAAGACGGAATTTATCTATCTCAATCACAGCGACGCGACGGTGACAGACGTTTCACGCTTGCCAGCTTTCCTCGTTTCTTGTGTCGTGACACCAGCATGCAAATGTGCTTGTATTTATGTTGTTTCCTTACTGGTGAGTAAAAAACAAACTCGTGATGTAGTGATCATCACGAAATTCTTAATATTCTGATTTAATATCGAGAGTAGCATTTATTAAATATTAAATTAGCTGAATCACATTGAAAAGTAATGTAAGAATCGAAAGCTTGTCTGAAGTATTACACGTAAAATTTTGTAATCGAATTTTACAATTGTTGTTCGAAGTTTGTTTGTTACAGGAAAAGTGCTACTCTCGAAGACGGTGTTAAGATAGAGCACAAATTAATTTATATCGTTGCGTGTTTGAATACAGCCTATGGGTATCCTCTCCATCCTTGAGGAAGAATCTATGTTCCCGAAAGCCACTGACAAGACCTTCGAGGAGAAATTGAACAACAATCATCTGGGCAAGAGTCCTAACTACATGAAACCCAAGCCACCGAAACCAGGCCAGGTGGCTGCCCACTTCACCCTGGGCCATTATGCTGGCAACGTATGTTCTCTTTTTATTCTTCCTCCTAATAAACTTTTTATGATTCGCAAATAGATTCCTAATATTTTATAAAAGCCATTGTCAAAAATGATTTACATGTACATTTTTTCTTCATATAGTAGGACAATATAAATTGTCTTAAATAATGTAGATTAAAGACAAGTGTTAAATGGATTTAATAATTTGATTCGTGGTGGCGCAGGTACCATACAACATCACGGGCTGGCTGGAAAAGAACAAGGACCCGCTGAACGACACGGTGGTCGATCAATTCAAGAAATCTTCGAACAAACTGTTGGTCGAGATCTTCGCTGATCATCCCGGACAGTCCGGTGATGCCGGTGGCGGCGGTGGTGGCAAAGGTGGACGTGGTAAGAAGGGTGGCGGTTTCTCGACGGTGTCGTCGTCCTACAAGGAACAGTTGAACAACTTGATGACAACGCTGAAAGCCACTCAACCCCACTTCGTCCGTTGCATCATCCCTAACGAGATGAAGCAGCCGGGTGTCATCGACTCTCATCTTGTCATGCACCAGCTGACTTGTAACGGTGTACTTGAAGGCATCCGTATTTGTCGCAAAGGATTCCCTAACAGAATGGTCTACCCTGACTTCAAACTACGGTAAGAATCAACTTTTACAAGTTCATGCGAATAATATTTTTCATTTTTTGATAAGAATCGCTTGAAGCATTTAGAATTCGGTTAGAACTCTCGTATCATTGAATCACAAAATGCACAAAGTGTAAAATAATCATCGTTTCAAATTCCAAATGCTTCGGGATTGATTTTATTATCAGCAATTCTAATCTTTTTATTCATTTCTATTTTATTTGATTTCCTTTTAAGTTTCTTTATTTAAATTTATTTTGAGTTTGACATCGTTTTTATTTCTATTTAAGTTATAATTTACTTCATCCATGATAGGGGTAATCGAAAAGTCGATTCACAATAGAAGCCTCCTAAGGCAAATTAAATTCTGACAGTTCCAATCTGTAGGCCACAAATGGCCAAATGATCAAAATCAAATGGCGTCACATATAAAATTATCGTTTATTGTGATTGCACAGTTACATGATCTTAGCACCGGCCGCGATGGCCTCTGAGACGGATCCAAAGAAGGCCGCCCAGAAGTGCTTCGATGAGTGCGGCCTCGATCCGGACATGTACAGAATTGGTCACACTAAGGCTAGTTTCAAATCTCCCCCGAAAAGACAAACGTGTACCTTCGTTTTTAAACCTTACTTTCCGTCTGCCCCCGTAGCGAGCACAACATTTTGAAAGCCCTCGATCGAAAAAGTTTAAACGACAAACAGTACAACAATCATTACATTTTGATCAATACAATTTAACTTGAATTCTCTCTTTTATTCGAGGGTTTTCAGAATTGTTCAGCTCTTGGTTTAATGAATGAAAATCTTGACCAAACGAATGAAAATGCCCCGAATTAGTTCTTATACACGTTTCCACCCCTTGATATCAGACTCTTGCACGAACCAAGTAAAGGAACAAAAGGAAGTTATCAGTGACCATGTCCCCTGAATTTGCCCCCTGATTAGAAAACGATCATAGATTAGTTATGGTTATGCACCCCACGTACGCCTTGTGTGACCCTTAGAATATATAAATGACATAATAGGAAATCATTGAAAAGCGGAATCGATGCGGAGCAGATATTTCTTACGTTCAATCATTTTTCAAACATCGTTTAATCACAAGCTTTGTGATGAACCCGTAATGATTGTGACCCATCACCTGTTCTTTCACGTTTTTTCTTTGCCTTGCGACCCCCGACACCCCTAGGTACAAGATCTTGGCACCGCAGCAGGTCGAGAAGGTGGGTAATGACCCGAAGAAAGCTGCTGCAGCGATCTTGGAGAATAGCGGTCTCGATGCCGAACAATACCGTCTTGGACACACCAAGGCATGTTTTCCTTTTTGCGATCATGGTCTCTGCTCGTGATTATCAAGCGATTATGCAACGAGCTTTATGCGACTGTTTGATTCGTACACACAGCATGAATGTAGAAAATCGATTTGCATTATTCATACAAAAAGTTTGTATTTAATATAGAATTAAAAAGCAACATGCGTCTACTTGTCTCTTCTGATATTTAGTTATTAAAAGATTCGTATCATTTATATAACTAAAGTTTAAAATTGCACTTCTTACAAATTCAAATAATTTTGATTTATTTCATTGCGCTGTGTGTACCGAGCAATCAAACGTTTATTTCGCAGGAATTATGGCTCTACATGTTAATAATCGACGGCTCGCATATATATACATGTGCATACGCAAAGTGTCTAACCAAAGAGGTCGTTAAAGTCATGTTAAGGTTGATTTATGAATCATGATCGCTTCACTCCCTACCAATGTTGCACATTCCGAAATTCAGAACCAGCCAAAAGAAATACACGTTCTTGGTTCTGTTTTGCTAAGATGTTACAGGTCTTACCCGACAGATCTTACCCGATGCAACCCGTTTTAATCATCATAAATATGATTTCAATTGTAAGCCAGATCTTACTCTCCTATAATCCAACCATGAGAAAATGGCATTAAAATTCCACTGTATGAGATCAATTACAGGACAGATCTCAGACAATCCTATTAGTAGCATTATTTAACGAGTACATGAGTCTAAAAGTATTTAACCACGCTTGATAATTTGAATTTGTTGTTTGTATCCCAACCACGAAACGCAGATACAAAATTCTGTGCGCCAATGCCATCAAAGAACCTTGCGACCCGAAAAAGGCCACCCAAATGATCCTGGACGCGATCAATCTGGAGCCAGAGAATTATCGCTTGGGTGAAACCAAGGTATTAAGACACCCTTGGCTTATAACTTCAACTTTAATGATAATAACAATTCAATACGCAATCATTCCGTTACAAACGTTTACCTTTTCGCTCTCTCAAGCGTTGATCAAATATAAGATACGAATGTTTCGTGTTAAAAATATAGTTTAACTTAAATTGGCTTGAAAGAAAATATTTAATGATTTATTGAATCATTAAAATTACAGAAGCGTGAAAAGTAAAAGTTTGATTACACAGTAACATTAATTCTTCCTAATGCTCACTATGGCTGAAATAAAAAATAAGGAAGTCTGGATACATTTTCTTTCTTTTGGCAGCTCAAGGTAACTCTCGTTTCGCTTCTCAATGTCTTAAATTTTTAACTCCCGCTTCTTCTTCCTCTATACTTTATTCTTTGCTCGTTGAATATGTAAATGTCCTGCTTGCCTAAAATCTGTACGCAGCTATCCTGAAAAAATCATTACTTCGATTACTCAGTATTATAAACGTGTACAAACAATAAAATCGTACAATTTTTTACGATGATAAGAACGCGTGAAATCTTTGTTTAATGAAATTAATTCTACCATCGAAGGTAATCGAAGTAATTCGCAAATCAAACGAAGTTCGTTACTGATTGAAATTTTCTTTTGCGTTTCGTAACTTCGAAAAACAACAGGTATTCTTCCGAGCCGGAGTGTTGGGTCAGATGGAAGAATTGCGTGACGAACGTCTGAGCAAGATCGTGTCTTGGATGCAAGCCTACATCAGAGGTTACCTGACCAGGAAGGATTACAAGAAACTCCAGGAACAGCGTTTGGCCTTGGTCATCGTGCAAAGAAACCTGAGGAAGTACCTCGTACTCCGCACTTGGCCATGGTGGAAACTGTGGCAGAAAGTCAAGCCTCTCCTCAACGTCACTCGTATCGAGGACGAGCTTGCCGTGAGTGCTTCAAAATACACTTTACACCCTCGCAATCAGTTTACAGAACACTTCTTACGTCATTTAATTAATTGTCATAATCAATTTATTTCTAAATTAGAATTGTAATGTTTTATTATTTCTTATTCGAGATTTACATAGAATTTAATTATTTTATTTTTATTCCAATAATTCAACTTATTATTTAATTATTAATTTCATAAATGTGTACATTCAATATGATCTCCGGCAAATGCTCGTTAAACATAAAGCATATGCTATTTTCGTATTTAGCCCGATTGTCAGTAAAGAATTTAGCGATTTTCGGAATTTCCAGTTCAACGGAAGCTTTGAACTCAATCGTGTTCCAAGAATCTGTGAACAGCGACTAGTGTTCTCCAGCAATGGAAACACACACTTCGGAAAATATTATTTCTATAATTTTGAAGAATCGTAAACTCTCCTCGGTTTACAGGAGTTCGGTCCTTTTCAATTTCCAGAAACGTCAGCCTCGAACGTAGTGATTATTTTCTCAAGCTCGTCACTTTCTTCTGCTAGGTGCTTTCGCGTTACGGAAGATGTTCTACCACTTGACATTTCAATTATTATTTCAATAATTGCGATTACATTATTCCATTACAACGTTCACATATTAATTCGAATAATAATATTTAATTCAACTTGTTTTTCCATCATGCATTATTGCAGCTTTAGGAATTTGAGAAAATACTTATTACTCATTTCACTCGACAGAACCTGTAGCAACGATTAGATAATTGAAATATGCAGCATTGAAACATTTTTGTAATCTTTGGCAAATGAGAAATGATCTTTATGAGATAGTATCAAAGTTAGATCATTTCATCTTTTTTTAGTTTCTATAAATAAATTAGCAACGCAATTTGGCGCGTGCTTTTCCGAGGCGAATCACACATTAGATTCTTTCTGTGCATTCTTTCTTTTTTATTCACGAATCTGTTTAACTACGACAACGTAAATAGAACCAAAATTATTCTTATCCGTCTGCGCCACGTTCCCATAAACTTTGGTGAAGAATTTCGATTTCATCACGCGCACTTTGTGTCATCGATTATTCACGCTATCTAATTTCATCTTAGAGATGAAAAGATCTACCTATCGATATATTTAGTACAATTTTATTTTAGAAAGCTATTTCTGCTCGCAAGCCGTCGAAGGTAATGAACTGCATAGTACGTGTCCAAATATTAATGAACTATTCCATTAATTGAAAAATGAACATAATATTTCTTTCAAATTGTGCACTTCAATTTTTCTAATTTTCTCAAACTTATTGATGTAATTATAAAACGAGAATTATATTCCTGCAATATTTTGTAATTCGATTGAATAATTCATAATAATTTTGTTTTATCTAGCTACGTCTATATTCCAATCGAATTTTAAGTTTGAAAATTATAATCTCTGAATCAATGCTTCATGGACAGATATATTATTAAAAAATTCTTTGCGGCACTTAGCTACATTAATAGTGACAACAACGACTATAATAATATGACGCTGCATTAACTAGCGGTTATTAATAGCAACCCCGACAATGTTTGTCGATAACTTGTGCATATATCACAATTGACAATGATTTATCGATCGGTGACGAAAATAGGGAGAATCTTCGGTCTAACTGGATCAACCGGTCTGATCTAATTGCAAGTTAGCTACTCGATCGTGGCGATTATCCGAATTTCCCACCGGGTCAACGAGAATATAGAATAGCGGCGGTCGAACTCGCGTTCAATCGGAAATAGTATCACCCGCTATAAATGATATTACCAGCATAAATCCAACGGGCCGCGCCGGCGCGTAGTAAAACGATCTCGCTTCCCCTACGGCCTACGTTTCGGACCGGTCGGCCGCTTGTTCCCAACTACGGGCGAATGCCGAACACGGGTTCCCTCGGGAAATTAACGAGGTCGATCCCCGACGGCATCGTAGCGACGCGCGCGCTGTTGCGTTACGCGCAACCTGGAGCGTAAAAGGAGACTGGAACAGAATTTTCGGGCGATCGTCGCCGCTGGAACCGGGTTCTAATTTCGTCTCGGATCCCTCCCCTTACTCCCCCTCTCGATGATCGCGAGCGGTGTTTGTCATGGTAGCCCCTTCTGGTTGCACAGACGTACCTACATGTCCCTCCTTCGCCGTCCCGAGAGATCGGTTATAAATATTTTTCTACGATGAGTATCGCGGACTGGAGTGGGGACGCGGTGATTCTTCGCGGCGAAGAGGGATTTTGGGTAGAAAAGTTGAGCCTCTGGTAAACCGATGATCAGTTGGATACGCGATCCCGCGCCGACCTCTTCGAAACCCCCTTTTTTTCTCAACGAACACTCTGACTCCCCCCTCCTTTTTTTTATAACGATTCCATTAGCGATACGAACACGATCGAAGAAATCTTCTTCTTCTCCAATCTTATCGAGCGCAGGATTATTCTTACCGTTTCGCGATTTTCGTCTGTCCGACGTGGGGTCTCCTCGAATTGTTAAAGAGGCGCTCTTAGATTCTACGATCGGTCGATCGAAGTCGATAATCGGGTGCAACGACGAAACGAGTGATTAGCCGGAGATCTGTGAATCGCGAATCGCGGGACGATGGGTGACACGTTGGCCGAGGAACCGGCTGCAGCCGGGAATCTGAACGGTGATGCTGAATCGCGGTTGCAGGCGCTCGAGGAGAAAGCGAGGAAGGCTCAGGAAGCATTCGAGAAGGAAGAGAAACTGCGAAAGGAGCTTGAAGAACAGAACGCGAAACTCCTTACGGAGAGGAACGCCCTTCAGAGAACACTCGATGGCGAGAAGGGTTCCCTGTCGGAGTACATGGAGAAGTCGTTGAAATTGGCTGCACAGAAGGCCGACCTCGAGTCACAACTTCAGGTAAGAATTTTCAATTCACAAATAATACATTTTAACACACAGTATTTGCAATATGTTTTGACATAAAAATGGAATTTTAGCAAAATCTGCAATATACGAGACTACTTTCACTGAAAGCTTTAAAACATGCAAGATTTATTGAAAATCATTTCAATTTAGATAACGATATCAAGTTAGTCTATCTAATCTATTTGTAAGAATATTTGCATCACATTGTTTCGATCAAGGATAATTAATTCTCTGTTAAATTATTGAGATAAATCATCAGTGAAAAGAATTATTATTATTAACAATTTTCCAAGTGCAACTTGTATATCTTATGGCCTCGGTTTCTCGAGTCCTGTTGCAATCAAGCATCGAAGGGCGATCAATGAATTTTTCACTCAAAGTTCGCGCAACGGAAAGTAGTTCAATTGGCACGAATCATTCTATAACGAAATCCATTGCGCGATGATGAACGTACGCCCTCCGTGAATCGAACCATGAATCAGACAAACGATAATTATACCACTAACAAATCGGATGTCGAAACGAAGAAGAATGGGGTTATTAATGTCTCCTTAACATTCCGAAAATCGACCATCGGTTATATATATATTTATAAACGGTCATGGGAAAAATATTGGAAACGAAAATAATCGGCCGTGTAGTTAGAAACCGACTAGAGGCTTTAAATATATCCATGGGGAGAGTATGGCGTGCCGGAAAAATGCTGGAATTTATTTACAACGATAGGCTGCTGGCCGTTCGCCTCTGCTTACTTTTCGCATATCCGTTCTAAAATAATTTTGAAAAATCCGCGATTACGCGAGCTCTGCGTAAACAACTTGAGAACATCGCTAAACAATTTGAAACATTGATATAATTTATTTTAATACAGTTCGGGATACGAAATTTTTTACAACCTGTCAGTGCTCTTATGGATTCAAGAGAATTTCAACCGTACCCTTTCCTCATTACATAAACTTTGTGCAACATTGTTTCGCGAACCAGATCGGATTTTGCAAAATGAATGATTACCGAAAGTATAATTTTAAACCGCGAATGATTTGTATAACGGAAGCTGAAAATATTTCGAAGTTTAAACAGATTTCGACACACCCTCCCCTGGAAGAGCAACGAGAGTCAGAAGCTTACGAGCTGGTAATAATTTAAGTGATCTGGCTCGGATTACAGAAAATGATGCACCTGGCCAGAGTTGATACATAGTTCGTTTCGTAAGCGCAGGCATTAAGTAGCAGAGGCGCGTCATTAGTCAGACGCGTCTGACCGGCGCTCATTGCGTGTTATTTTTCTTGCACGACGAATCATCCCGTCGTTTTTGCATTCGTTCTAAAATTATGGAACCTTCATAACGAAACCGGAATCTTAACCACTTTCTCACTCAGGCTCGTGCCCGAAAGATGAATCACTTACTTTAATTCTTCTCTCCTTCGATGACTTTAATTCTTCTCTCCTTCGATGTTAACACGTTGATAAACTGCAAGTAAGAGATAATTGGAATCTTTTTTCATTTGTTTCTATAACATAAAAGTATACTTAAAGAATATTGTTTATGAATTACGATACTGATACGAACAACTGTTCGCTTGATTTAAATATTATAATAATAGTGAAAAATATTATATCGCAAATGCCAAGAGTATACTGTGATTGAAATTTTTCCAACTTCAAGTTCAGATACGTGTAAAGAATATACCTTCTACCTTCTGGGACCGATAATTAAGGGTGGAAATGTCTTTAGTCACTCAGGCTCGTTTCTCTTTCACCCCATGCTGTGGGGAACATTGAAAAAAAGATGAACGAATGGAAATTGGATAGCGGAATGGGTGCACATAAAAAGAACGGTGAAAAAAAGTTCGGTGGAGGATAAGATTCGTTCCAGAATACCGGACTATTTTTAACGGGCGCCTTTTGAACGACTTACTAACCCGCGCTTTTATGTCAACACCGGTCGTAAGCTCGTTTTTGTAGATTAAATTTAGAATTATCTCGTACATCAGTCTACGGGCGATGATCTTACGACTGACAAGAACCGAAGCCTTCCTGTCCGAGGATGATAAACCAGCCAGATTAAAATTAGTTCATAAAGCAATTAGACACGCTTAGAAGTTTAAATTCAGTTATCAAGCGCGAAGTACCCTGATGAGAAATTTATTGGCTTAAAAGAGAACCGTGATTTAGGGTGAAAATTTCCTGGCTGTCTCAGTATTCTATGATTTAATGAAACGAACCACGATTCATGGTTCGGTAAGAGTTCAAATGACGGAGGCGCCTATTAAAAGCACACAGAATCGATGTTATCGCGATCCATTCGAACACAGCCAAGACGCTCCGCGAATCGGAGCAAGTAGTATGAAGTTAAGTGGTACCAAATACGGGCAGCGAGGAAGGAAGCAGGGAAGGAAGCGGAGAGAACAAAAAAAGAAGAGGAAGAGGAAAAATGAAAAGATCCGCTTAAATCAGCTCGAGATACCTGGCGCGTTGGGGTGGGACGTTGACTGCTACTTCGCCCCTACCTTCAAACGCTGCCAAATTTAGACGACGCCGGATCCCAGATTCCAGGTTATTAAAAGTAGGCGTGGTTACGCGCTGGAATAACCGACAAAACGGAGGAGGTAACAGGTGTATGGTGTATTTATACGTCGGTACGCTTATGCTACGCGTCATCGCGTAACTCTAACTACCCGGCTGCCTTCCAGGAATCTCCTATCGCCGATTACTCGAATACCGACATTTAACTGTGCCGCGTAGGCAACCCTCTGCGTTCTTCTTCAACCCTCTGCGTTGAATAAATTCATTGTACTCAATAGAAATTGAATTTAGACCTTCTTTTTAACAATCATGATTTTTTTTATGATAGTCTTTATTGTTCAAAGTGAATACCAAATGGAAACGATTTATGTTTTGAGACTTTTCGAATTACTTGTACGAATTCAAGACAAGAACAAATTATACAAGAACTGAATTAAAATTACACTA